TCTCTCTCGTCCCTCTCTTCTCTCTCGTTTCTCTTGCTTATTCTTCTCTCTCTCTCTGCAAGAATGTCAGCGAAAAAGTCGACATCTAAACTTAGAGCCTTGGATCAAGTTATTTTTAGGACAACACGTTCGCCTCCCTTTCCCTTTCCAAACACGATGGCACCCAAGAAAGCTGGCAAGAAGGCGGCGGCGTCGGCCCCGCAGAGCAAGCCCGAGGAAGTCCCGGCTAGCAAGCCCGACGAGGATGAGGTCGAAGATGCTGCACCGGTATGGTCTTGCTTTTTGGTGTTCTTTCAGGCCCTGGCTCTGGGCCACTGGGAGGCTCACAACACGCCAACGGCTTTGGCATGCCTCGCGCCGTGTGGTGTAGGAGGAGCCGGTGAAGGGCAAGCACAGCGATGGCTCGGCCGCGATGCGCAACATGGAGGGTGATGAGCACGAGGGCTCGGGTGCCAATGCCGAGGCGGCCAGTGCCGCGGCTCAGCAAGTAAGCAGATCATGACCCTCGCATCGCTTGTGATAGTTTGGCCTGTTCATCCGCTCACGCCGCGGTGATGTATGTGCATGTGGATGATGCGTGTTTGTAGATGGGCGCCTCCAGCAGCAAAAAGTACGTATGCAGCGACTCTTCCTCATTGTCCGAAATTCATTGCCGTCCCGCTCCTCTCGTCGGCCCTCGCTCTCTCGTGTTGCTTCTCAACACGCCAAATCATTTCCCAACCAGAAGGGCATCAGTCGTTTTGTACCCCTCACCTGCACACAGAACTAATCATGTTACCACGGATCTCCTGCCGATTCGCCATCACACAGGGTCAAAGCTAATGATGCACACGTGAAGAGCCTCCAGGAACAGCTGGACCTGTCCACAGCGCAAGCCACCAAGCTACTACAGGACGCGAACAACGATTTGGAAAAGGCGCTACTTGCCGGCGTTTTGGTCCAGCTCTAAAGCAGTGCGCCACCGGCAACAATCTCCTTTGTCGACCTTTGTCTCTTTCTTCCCATGCCTTTTTGTCCCTCTGTGCTATCGCTGCTGGCCAAGGGCGTTACACAGAAACTTTGTCAGGTGGCTCTGGACCCGTCCAAAGCTTTGGCATCGCCGTGGTTGAATCTGCCTCTGAAGCAATGGCATGACAGCCTCTTGACATAATTTGGCAAATTTTCATCCCGTCTTCAGCGCATCAGCTGACCTGATGTTGATTCGAGGCAAGCATCGAGGCAAGCATCTGGGCTTGAGCCGCTTGCACCGACAGCTGACCAAAACCACCTTGAAATTCAAACTTTCTCTGACCAAGTCCTGTTGAACAACACCATCCTCAAGCACTGTCCATCGCCCTATCCTCTATTTGTGCCGACCGATCCAGCGCCTCCCTCGTATGTCAAATCTCGAGCAAGAGCAAGTCAACCTCGCCTGCTGGCAATCATCCCTCTTGCCAAAAAAAAAAAAAAAAAAAAAAAAAAAAAAAAAAAACTCACTGACTTCGCCTTCTGACATTTTCTGATCTGCTCCGCCCCCGCTCGCGCGTTCTGGACAAGCTTGGTAGCCGCGGCGATCCTTCGGGCGACGCTGCTCGTTTAGGTGGCAAGCCAGACTGGTGTTGTCTTGTGGGTGCTCTTCTTGTTGGCAAGGGGGAAGAGAGAGAAAAAGAGCGAAACGTCGTTGCGGCGTTGGCCCTTGCTGGCACCATGGGTGACGATGTGGCAAGATCCATGGCCGAGGCCCGGGAGGCAGCTGAAATGGGCCGGCGACTTCAAATGACCAACTACGAGCGCTTTCTGCGTGGAGAGGTATGTCGATACGCAGCCTGTCTGCCTCCAACAAAGGTGATCCGGGCTCCTGGGCGTGTCTAGTACTCACCAGACCAACGGGTGGACCGCAACGGTTGCCACCACTTGAGCAGGAGGTGGTCTTTCCCGTGCACAACGACACCGCTGGGTTCAAGCTGAAAAAGAGCTCGTTGCCTCCACCTCGCCCCAAAAGTCGTCCGCGCAAGGTCAAATTCACCTTTGTAGATGAATTAACAGATTGCATCGCCGAAGGAGACAAGTCTGGCATTGAGCAAGCGCTCAAGGCCAATGCCAACGTCAATGCTCGTGACAACGAAGGCATGACCCCGCTTCATCGGTGAGTGTGAGGCCTCGGTCCTTCATATTTGATTGCCAAACGCAAAGTCGAGTTTTCTGGCCTGCTAAACTGATGGAACCATGGTCTTGGATTCCCCAGAGCTTGTATTGAACAGGATTTGCAAACCGTGAGCCGGCTCATCGATGCCGGTGCCGACGTGAACGTCCGTGATGACGACTGGTGGACACCACTTCACTCGGCTGCTGATGTCGGTGCGTTGGACGGCGCCTTGGATTGATGCGCTCGGTCACAGCCACCATCACTTGCCACAGCATCTGGCCCGCCCGCTCAGGTGCCCCCTTCCTTTTTGTTTGATTTATTTTATTTTATTTTATTTTCGTTCGGTTCGGCGACAGGTGCTTGGCGCATCTGCAATACGCTCTTAAACAATGGCGCCGACCCGACCGCCGTCAATGCCGATGGCGATCTTCCTCTGGACGTGGCCATGGATATGCGCACCGAGGGTGTTTTGCAGCGCGCTTTGGAGGATGCTGGTCACGCAGACAAGGTTGGGTTCCATCGTTTGGTCTTGGCCGGCACAACCCACGTTACCAACCGTCGTGTGCCTCCCGGCTGTCTGGCACTGTGGCATTCTCGCCTTAACTTGGGGCCTTGTGGGATCGGGATCCGTTGGTATAGGAAGCCTGGGAGGATCTTCGAACTCGCGATGAGCGAGTTATGCTCGCTGACATGAAGAAGCTGGTGATGCGTGGAGGCAACATCAATACTCCACTCAACGCAGCCGTTCGTTTTACTGGGCCTATTTCTCACCTGTCGCAAAGCCCTTCTCCGAGTACGCCGCTGTGGCCTCACTGCAAATTTGCATTCCCTTTCATCCTCTGATGTAGGGCGCCACCCCCTTGCACATTGCAGCGTGCAACGGCTACCAGTATGTTTGCGGTGTTGCTGTTGGTGCTCTCAGACACAATTCCGAGTTTTGACACCACCTTTGCTTCCCTCCGCGCCGCCTGTTAGTCGGGTTGTGGCCTTTCTTCTGGAAAACAAGGATGTGCAGCTAAATGCCCGAGATCAAGATGGCAATACCCCCCTGCATCTTGCCGTCTATTTTGAAGGCAAGTCTATGCGTGGACCTCGTGGTATTTAGTTTTTTTTTTTTTTGCCTTTCTCTCTCTCTCTCTCTCTCTCTCTCTCTCTCTCTCTCTCTCTCTCTCTTTGAAACGTTGACCCCGGTGCGTCTTCGTACTTTGCTTGCCTATGTCTCACCGGGCTTGGCATGCCACAACCGTTGATAGCGTACGAGTGTGTGATGCAACTGGCCATGGCCGGGGCTGACATCAACGCAACCAACATGTACCGCCAGCGACCGATCGTCATGACCGAAAACGACACCTTGCTCAAAATTCTCAAAGCCGTCGACAAGCAAGCCGATGACCTCTTACTTTCTGGTACGTCGGGCAGCTTTGGGTGGCAAATTGGTACTCGCGCGAGCCACACCTTCCAGCCGACTGCGACCGGCTGAAGGATCTCACGTCTGGGCTACGGCTGATTGTCAATTCGTTTTATGACGCCTTTCTAGGCATGGCTGGACGTGGGCGAACAGCGAGCGGACGCCGCCATAGCAAGCAGCAGGCTCATGACTCAATGCGCCGCGACCGCTACCAGGAAGGCATGGCCCTGCGCTCCTAAACGACTACGACACTTTTATTATTCCTTGCCCGAGCATCCGTGTTCCACCTCCTGGGCTGCCGCGTCTTGAGCTGTTTCTTTTGGTGGGTGGCAGGCTGTCAGATACTTGTGCGGCAGCACCCTGTTCATAGCCATCATTTCTTACAGGACAATCAATCAATCCGTCATCTTGCCACTCGATTCGTGGATCTGTATCGCACACCCAAAGAAAGCACAAACCATAAAAGTACGACCAATCAAACAACAACAACAACTTTGACCCTTGACCCAGGGTTGTGCGCATTTCCTCCACATTCCCTGAACCAAAAGCATGTGTCCAGCCAATCCCACCATGCACTGAGGGAACCAGACTATGGAAACAAAAACGTGTCAAGCGAGTTACACACACACACACACATACTAGCTTAAAAGGTCTGACGTTTTTATTTGATGATCGTACGTCAAGTTGTGATGATGATGATTATGGTGATGAGAGAGAGATCAAGAGAGAGAGCCATTTTGCCGCTCCGGCCCCGCTCCGTCATTTGCGGTGAGCCGTTCTTGTTGTTGAGGGCACGCTGGTCTCGAGCTGTGGCTGTGGCTATGGGGTGCGCTTGTTGTTATTGTAACTGGGGTATCGTGCTTGTGTGCTTAGCATATCCACCATGGCCGTCGCCATCCGTCAAGCGTTTGCCCGCTGCCAGCGGCTGGGCAAGCCCGCCTTTGTCGGGTTTCTGACCGCTGGCTTTCCGACGTTGGACACCACCATCCCGGCTCTTGTGGCTCTTCAGGTGTGACATGTCTGTTCCTGACACGCCTCAATTTCTTGCAGCCTGGCACCGTGCCACATCACCGCCCTTGACGCCACATGGCCCACCCTCACAATCCATCTCGATCTACTTCACGCATGGCGATAGGAGGGCGGTGCCGACATCATCGAGCTGGGTTTGCCCTTCTCCGACCCTTTGGCCGATGGCGGGGCTATCCAAAAGGCCAATACCCAAGCCTTGGCCAACGGCATGACCGTACCCAAACTGGTGCAACTCATTGCCGACGCGCGCAAGGTAGGCATCACCCGTCTCGAGCCCTGTCTCAGAGGGACGTCAGCCGCTCAGCATGCTCGTTTGACATCCATGGCGTTGAAATTGGTAGGCGGGTGTGACTGTGCCCATTGTTATCATGGGCTACTTCAACCCGATGATGGCCTACGGCTTCGAGCGCTTTGCCAAGGACGTAGCTGAGGCTGGTGGCAACGGCTTTATCATTGTAGATCTGCCGCCCGAGCAAGCAAGCAGTGCCTTAGAGGCCATCAATCGCCACGATCTTGGCTTTGTGCCGCTGGTGACACCCACCACGACGGATGAACGCATGGCCAAACTTGCCTCCATTGGCAACTGCTTCATTTACTGTGTGAGCGTTACTGGTACGTTGATCGGGCCTGCTTCATGTCCCCTGACCCGTCGTGACGTCTTGGTTTTTATTTTATTTTATTTCATTTATTTACTTTTTGTTTTAACGTGTGGAGTTTTGTTTTTACATGTTGCTGTTGATGTCAGCTCACGATGCTCACCACGTTGTCCGACGGGCAGGCGTAACTGGTGCGCGCACCAATTTGGCTGAAGACTTGCCCGACTTTATTGCCCGTGTGCGCAAGCATACTCAATTGCCTCTGGCCGTGGGCTTTGGCATTAGCAAGGTAGCAACTTGCACAATCGGTCCCGCGCCCCAGTACAGGTGTCAGGAGCTCAAAAGCAACAGCTCTGCCCTCACGCCACCCTTTTGAATTGCCACTGTTTGGAACCGGGTAGCGTGAGCACGTGGTCACGGTCGGGCAAAATGCTGATGGCGCTGTTGTGGGGTCGGCGATCATCGCCGCCGTGGATAGCCTTGGTATGTTGACGAGGTCTAGCCAGACTTCTCCCACGCAACTCATCTGCGACTGATACGAATCTTTCGACTGTCCTCTGCCGGGTGTACGTGCGGCAGGTCCTGAGGCTTCACCGGCGGATCGGGCACAACAAGTTCAAGCTCTCATCCAAGACTTGACGCAGGGCAAGACCCATGCCGAGGGTGAAGACGAGGCGGTATGTTTCTGCTTCTCCTTGCCCGCCTGGTCAGACTACGCTTCGGTTTTGCGCTCCTTTGGTTCCACCGTGACCACGATGATTGTATACACTTCCGTTTGAGTTTGTAGATGGACAAGATTGTGGTTGATGGTGCGTCCTTTGATCAACAACATGCAGGCTTCAGCTATGGTGCTTTTGGGGGGCGCTACATCCCCGAGACCCTGGTTGAAGCCCACGAGCAGCTCTGGGAGGCCTGGCAGGAGGCTTGGAAGGACCCAGCTTTCCACGAGGAACTGGCGCACCTTCGCTCGAAATATGTTGGTGGACCCACACCCCTTTGGAAGTGTGAGCGGCTCAGCCAAGCCTGCGGTAGGTTCATGTGCTGACGTGGCCTGATCGTTGAGCATAATTGGCGGCCCGGTGTCCTAAGCTTGTGCCGGTGATGTGTGGGGCTGCTGGCCAATGTTCTAGGCGGGGGTGAAATTTGGCTCAAGCGTGAAGATTTGGCGCACACCGGTGCGCATAAGATTAATAACGCGTTGGGCCAGGTGCTGCTCGCCAAGCGTCTCAATAAGGAGCGATTGATCGCCGAGACTGGTGCCGGTCAACATGGAGTGGCCATGGCGACGGCCTGCGCCCTTATGGGCATCAAGTGTATGTAGCACGTCCGGGCCGCGAGATCGTCAAGCATGGTTCGGGGCGGTTTTTCCATCTGGTCCTTCACTCAATTTCCTGTGTTTTGGGTGGGTTTCTGGTGTCTGATCGACAGGTGTCGTGTACATGGGTGAAGAAGACACGCAACGCCAGTCACTCAACGTCTTTCGAATGAAGATGCTCGGGGCCGAGGTGGGCGCCACGCCTTTGTATCGCTCTTGCGCATTTGGCGCTAGCTAGCAGGGCGTGTCATGCTCGTCACCGGCTCATGCTGAATGTCTGGTGAACGTTTCGCGGGGTTAGGTCGTGGCTGTCAAGTCTGGGTCGCGCACGCTCAAGGATGCTATCAACGAGGCCATGCGTGATTGGGTGACCAACGTGCGCACCACCCATTACTGCCTCGGATCGGCTGTGGGCCCACATCCTTTTCCCTTGATTGTACGCGACCTGCAATGCGTCATTGGTCGCGAAGCGCGCACGGAGGTGAGTTCGCCACGTCGCTCTTGCATTCACCGGGAGTGGGATACCCTTGGGGGAGGGTTGTTGTTTTTGGTCCTGCTGCATCTTGAGTTCCAAATCCCGTGTCCTGAACATGGGTCCCGAGCCATGATTCCTGACGTTGTTGGGGCTGGGCTGTGACCTTAGTTTTTGGAGACCACAGGTTCTCTGCCCGATGCGGTCATTGCTTGCGTTGGGGGTGGTTCCAACGCCATCGGCATGTTCCATCCCTTTGTCGGGGACGAAGGTTGGTCTGCGTCGGTCAACCCAAGAGAGCGTGGTTTTGGCCGGGAGGCGGCTTTCTCCTTGTTCGCGCTAGCTCTGGTGTGGTGACAGATGTGAACTTTGTGGCGGGTGATTGATCGCCTAGGTGTGCGCTTGATCGGCGTGGAGGCTGGTGGTGAGCACGGCGTGGAAGGGGGCAAGCACTCGGCCTCCCTGGTCGCGGGCAAGCCCGGTGTGCTGCACGGCACGTTGACCTACCTCTTGCAGGACACGGATGGACAAATCACGGAGACGCATAGCATCTCGGCCGGTCTCGACTACCCGGGTGTGGGCCCAGAGCACTCCTTCCTCAAGGATAGTGGCCGAGCCGAGTATGTGGCCATTACGGACAGCGAGGCCTTGGATGCCTTCAAGCAGTTGTCGCAGCTGGAGGGTATCATCCCAGCTCTCGAGTCGAGCCACGCCGTGGCCTATGGCATGAAGGTGCGTCACGGCTCTAGACGTTTCGAGTCAACCCGTGTGGGATCTCAGCCATGCGTCCGCTCACGCAAGACCGTATTGTTTCCTTGTGCGGAATGAAATAGTTGGCCAAGACGATGAAGCCTGGGCAGCGCGTGCTGGTCAACCTTTCGGGCCGTGGCGATAAGGACATGATGACTGTGGCCAAGGTCATGGGAGTGCAGCTGGATTGATGATTTTACACAGCTGGGCTGACTTCTAATTTACGAAATTAGTGACAATAATCTCTATCGACCAACAATTATCAACACCAGTTCTCAACTATATCTCCTCTGAGATTTTGAATGATCCAACCCTCAAAAATGTCGATTGACGTATAGTGCTTATCGACCTGTTTCTTTGTTCGCCCTTTTATGGTCTTTGCCCCTTTGCGTTGACTACAAAGCCACCACCACAAAGCCAAAAGGAGCCTGCTCTCGTTCACTGACTTTTTGACAAAAGAAAATTGAATGCTATTCTTTTGTTTCTTTGTTGTTTTTCTTCTGGCCCAAGTGCTCATTTTTTCTCTTCTAGTTGGTTCCTTCTCCTCTGCCCCGCCCCTCCCTCCGAGCTGACGGCACAGACCAGACGAGACTTGTACGTGGTCCCATGTACCCCGCCGGCTTCACCTTTTTCGATCATCCACACAGGGTTGAGTGTTGGTGTTGGTGATAATGTGGGCTGCACTGGCTGTTGATGCAGTTTGCTTGGCCCTGCCAAGCGATGCTGCCTGCTTTTCTCGAGTTGCTGATCTTGGCCGCGCTGGCATGTGCATTGCTGGCTCGTCAATGTTCATAGGTTTTGAACATTTTCTGAATCTCAAGCCCAGCACGATGGCTGATCGCGAAGCCCAGCTCAAGGAGCTCTCCAAGGGTGCGTTTGGCCATGCGGTTGGCCCTTTCTTTGGGCGTTCAAATCACTGGTCTAGTCAACCTCTGAGGGCTTTCGCATCAGTTTGAATCCCGAACCAACCCCTCACTCCTGTATCTTGTTTGTTTGCCCCTGCTCCACCAGGCCGCTCTAAGGCCCCTGCAGCCGACCCCGAGGAAATCAAGCGCCGCAACCTCGAGGCCCTGCAGAAGCGCAAGGCCATGCTGTCCCAGATGAAGCAGGAGGAGGCGACCCGCCCCCTGCCCGACGGCTGGCGCCGTGTCGAGTCTCGCTCCCGCCCTGGCGAGTTTGTGTACGAAAACATTCACACTGAGGAGCGTATCGCCTGGTTCCCCACCGAGGCCGCCAAGGAAGAAGGTGCGTTGCGTTGCGTTGCATAGAGCCACCTGAGTCCCACCCTTGACCCACCTCGCCTCGCTTGACTGCCAGGAATTTCCGGCCAGCCGTGTGTTGTCCCCCAGTGCATGGGCTTGCTTGTTTTCTTACCTGACTTCTCCTGGCTGGATGCCTCCATTAGCCCAAGCTGCCCTGGTGCCGCAGAATGCTGCTGCTGACAAGAAGGCTGAGCTGAAGAAGAAGAACCTCGAGGCTCTGCAGAAGCGCAAGGCCAAGCAGGCCGAGCAAAAGCAGGCTGAGGCCAACCTCGAGCTGCCGGAGGGCTGGAAGCGCTCGGAGAGCCGCTCTCGCCCTGGAGAAGTTGTCTACGAGAACACATTCACCGGCGAGCGTCAGGCATGGTTCCCCGATGCCCCCGCCGTTGACCCCAGCATGTCAGAGGAGGACAAGAAGAAGGCGGCCCTCAAGGAGAAGAACCGCCAGGCGCTTGAAGCCCGCAAGGCCAAGCTGGCGGCCAAGAAGGCTGATGAAGCCACTCGTCCCCTGCCCAAGGGCTGGCGCCGCGTTGAGTCGCGCTCGCGCCCCGGCGAGTTTGTGTATGAAAACGAGTACACGGACGAGCGCATTGCCTGGTTCCCCGAGGAGCCTGCCGAGCCCCCGCTCCCCGAGGGCTGGCGCAAGGTCGAATCTCGCACCTACCCCGGCGAGTTTGTCTACGAAAACATGTACACACTCGACCGCCAGGCATGGTTCCCCGAGGGCCCCGCGCCCAAGGAGCCGGTCGAGGAGGCCCCCGAAAAGCGTACCGAGGCTCAGCTCAGCCAGCTCAAGCAAGCGGCGCCTGCCGTGGACGTCATTTGCAAGGCGCGTGCCCTGTACGAGTACACGGCCGAGAACCGTGACGAGGAGATTGACCTGCTGGAGGGCGATGTCATTGCGGTCGAGTACAAGGCTGACAACGGCTGGTGGGTCGGTATCAACACCCGCACCCAGCGCAACGGTATCTTCCCCGGTACCTACGTGGAGGAGCTCCCCAACTAAGGCTTTGGTCATTGACCATTGGTGTCGAGGGGTTTTGAGAAGCGGTCCAACTGGCATTCATGATGTCTCTTGCCATGCATCGTGCTGGCCACCTGCTTCTTTTTTCCTTTGCTTCTCGCCAAGCTGCGTTGGTGGTTGCATTTTTGCCTTTCCTGTGTTTTCTTTTTTCTTGTTTTGCCCTTTCTCGTTAACGAGCCAGCAGCGCCGGCTCACATGTCCCTTTCCGGTCTTGCTTTTCTCTGTTGTTTTCTTGTCATGTGTGTGCCGCTTGTCGGATTGCAACAACTCATTCCTTTTATCCTTTTTTTTTCCTCCCTGAAATGGTTGTTTTCCACGACCATGATTGTGCTTTCGGCTTGGAGTGAGCCACAACAATGTGTGCACAAACCCCGGGCTGGTTGTTGGTTGGGTTGAAAACTGCTTGAATTGAACAGAAACTAAGCTCGGCGATGTTATAGTCTGCACGTGTTGGGCATTCACGCGTTTGAGCAGGGCGACTGCTGCATGTACATGCACAACCTTTTTTTTTTTTTCTTTCTTGTTTTTGGATGGATTGAAAGATTCGAAGCACCAAACATCGAAAGGGGTGGCTCTGAACAAGCCATGGTAATGATCAAAAACACATCAAGAAGAAGAATGAAGAAAAAGAAGGGCACACACACGCACACGCACACATACACATCTTGCCACGACGCATCCGCCCTCGGGCCGGGCATGAGCCGAGCAAATAAGTAGCACATGAAGTGTACCATTGCCTCAGAAGCCGATCCGACCATACAACGCGTCTCGCCAACAACGTGCGCCTCAGACGCTGCCTCGCCCTGTGGAGCGGACGAAGTCCGCGCACCGGAGAGGCTGTGCGGTCGTCATCGCAAGGAGAAGCGTTGGCAAAAGAGAGGGGTGTGTCTGCGTGGTGGGGGAAGGCCATGACTCGCCACAGCGAAGAAGGATGGAAAGCCAATGGCCACAAATCCAAGCACGTGTACAAAGCAGGAAAGTACACTAAAATAATAATAGCTCTTCAAGCACTGGGCGCAATCATGAACCCAGGGTCTTGATTCCCTGATAGGGTGCTTAGTACTTGGGCAGGCAGCGGCAGACCTTGCACTCGCCCTCGTACACCTCGCGCATCTCAGCATCAGGCTTGCAGCTGCAAAAGGATAATAAAGCAAATTCAATCGTAAGCGGAACGCGTGTTTTCAACGTGAAGCGAGCGATGAGGGCCCAGCGATGAGAAGAGGCCATTTGGACATACCGGCGGGGGGAGACCGTGCAAGGGTTCTCGACGCAGGGCGTGGTGGTGGTGGTGACGGGTGCAGCCTGAGTGGTGGTGGTGGTGCTGGCGGGAGCAGCCTGGGTGGTGGTTGTCGTTGTCTCAGGGCGACCCTGAGTGGTGGTGGTGGTGCTGGCGGGAGCAGCCTGAGTGGTGGTCGTCGTTGTCTCAGGGCGACCCTGGGTGGTGGTGGACGTGGTGGGGTTGTAAGAGTCGGCCTTGCAAGAGCAAGTGAGGCAACCATTGTTGTCATATGCGTCCTCGGGGTAGCTACCCGGCTTGCAGTTGCATGGGCGGTAGGTAGGGCAGGTAGGACCGGCCTGGGTGGTGGTGGTGGTGGTGGTGGTAACGGGAGCAGCCTGAGTAGTGGTGGTCGTCTCGGGGCGGCCCTGAGTGGTGGTGGTGGTGGTAACGGGAGCAGCCTGAGTAGTGGTAGTCGTCTCGGGGCGGCCCTGAGTGGTGGTGGTGGTAGTGGTTACAGGGGCCTGGGTCGTGGTGACCGAGGTGGGCCCAGACCCGGCAAGGCGGCAACCGCAAGTGTAGCACGAGTTGCGGTCAAAGAAGTAGTAGACCTCAGCATTGGGTTTGCATCGGCACTCGGTGCGCACATCGGAGCAGGGGTCCCCAGCCGTGGTAGTGGTGGTCACGGGTGCCTGAGTGGTGGTGGTGGTGGTCACAGAGGCCTGGGTGGTGGTGGTAGTGGTGGCGGGGTTTTGGCTGACCGAGCGGGTGGTTGCAGGAGCTTGGGTGGTGGTAACGGTGGGCTCGAGGGTAGCGGGCAAAAGGGCACGGCATTCATCCTCGCAGTCGTTCTGGATCAGCTTGCAAGTCACGCGGCAGAGGAAGTTGTCCTCGCCCTTGGGGCCGCAGTTGGAACGGCAGGCAATTGATGCCAGACCGCATTCGTACAGGCAATCCTCAATGGGCTGCATTGTCACCTCCTCCGTGGTCGGGGCCATGGTGGTGGTGGTAGTCGTGGAGGAAGTGGTGGTGGAGGTGGAGGTGGTGGAAGTGGTAGAGGTGGTGGTGGTTGAGGTGGTGGTGGTTGAGGTGGTGGTGGTTGAGGTGGTGGTGGTGGTGGTGGTGGTGGTGGGCTCCTCCGTGGTGGGGGCCTCCTCGGTGGTGGGAGCCTCAGTGGTGGCCTCGCAAGCCACACGCTCAAAGCGAACGGCATCGGCGGCTACCAGGCGGTTTGCGGCGGCGTTTTCGGTGGTGATCATGACGTACTCGCGATCGTTTCCGCCCTGGAAGGGGTAAGTACCAATGTATTGCCACGCGCTGTCAATGTCCGCGCCGGAGCTGGCACGGGCGGTTTGGTCCACGCGGAGGGCATCAAGACCACCGTTGTACTGAATCTCGACGGGGGCACGGGCCGTGTTGAAAGGGGAGCGGCCGTAGCTGATGTACACGTGGTAATCACCGCCGGCCACAAAGGCGGCAGAGAAGCGCACGTATTGGCGGCGACTGTTGTGGAAGCGGTTGTTAATGTAGCTGTTGCCACGGAAGTCAAAGCCATCGTTGGTGTGCAGCCAGGTACCGCTGACCGTGGCCTCGCCGCGCTCGGTCTCCATAATGATCTTGTCCTCGAGGCACAAGTTGAAGGGAGCGAGGGGGTCACGGCCGTTCAGCTGCTCACGCAAGGTGGCGCGAGCCGAGCATGTGTTGGGGTAGTCAGATTGGCACAGGGCAGTGTCGGGGCGAAGGCTGGGGTGCATGGCACCACACACGTCTGCTGGCATATAAAAGTCGGTGGACATGCAGCACTGTGACAGCCGCGCAAGCAAGGGCATGGCGGGATCAAAAAGAGCGTGAGTTTGGCGAGCCCTCGACTGTTTGAGAAAATAGTAAGAGGATACACCACACACTGGCCGGTTCCATGCAGCGCAGGGTGGGGAAGCTGTTGCATCGCACGCACCGACTTGTAGAAGGTGTCGAGGCCTTCCACTTCGCACTCGGAGAGGAGCGCATTGGCCGTGCCAAGAGCGACGACGGCAACCACAAAGATGGAACGCATCATGGTGGCGGGTTGAGAAACAAGATGGCAAGAAAGGTGTCAAGAGATCCCTATCGATGGCACCAGAGGCGACAGGCACAAGTCAATGGCGCCCTCGCATGACGAGGGAAGGAACAATGGTTGATTTGGTACAAACCTGTGCGGCAGGAGACTGGGAAAAGAGCCCAAATCTGTGAAGCTATCAAAGCAAGATCCCTCTTCAAGGATCGCTGAAGGCTTCAACTGGGAAAGGGCGGAGGGATGTGACGTCCGATCGACTCTCTAGTGGAGTCAGTTGGCTGGGTCACGAGCACACAGGGATGCACCTTCTCGAGAAGATGTCTTGACTAAAATGCCACTCGAGTGACCAGCCCGGGGTGCAGTGATCGGGCTTGCCCCCCTGGCTACCGCTGCAGAGCAACGGGAAGGCCATTGCCCTGATGCACAATACAGCTTCCAGGGGCGTGCAAGGGCGGGAGGCCATGCTGGTGCCTGTGCATATGCCTTTGTGTGTGGGCATGCGTGCGAACGCCTTGCATGTTTCCTCTCGGGCGGGGCCGGCCGCGGAGCTGATGCGAGAAAAAAATTGTCATGTTGTTGGGCGACCGTCGTGCCGGAATGGCGCTCCTCGGAAACTCCGAACCGTGTTGCCGTGGGCGTTGCATAGTGATGCGTGCGACCAACCAGCGACAATTGGACACCGGTGTCTGCAACTATGACTGGTGGATGCAGGCAGCACCGGCTTGAGGAATCCGTGCAGTCCTGCAAACGGCGTACAAAATGCCAACCACGACCCACGACCTTTTATGCTTGCAAACTTTGTCTCGTGTGTGAGTGTGCAAGCTTGAGGGCACTGACCGCCACGAAGGCTTGCATTCACCAATGCCCATGCGGTCTGGTCGTGCCTGGTGCGCCTATCCCTCGGGGAACGTGAGCCTTAACCTGCAACCCGGCCAGCGGACACATGGGTGAGCATGCATGTATGCATAGTATGTCCTATGTTTAAAAAAGAGGACAAATGCTGAATGTGGAATGAGAGCCTGCACCTGTGGAAACGCACCCATGGCACGTCGATTTCGAGGCCATTCTTGCCAGCCATACGCCGGCCATTGGGGGGGTGGCTGCTTCTTCAGGCTGGGGCAAGGAAGCTTGACATGCCACACGGCGTGATCCCAGGTCCATGGGCAAGAGGTGAGGACTCGAGGGCCCAGCAAGAACATTTTTTGGCAGTGGCAAGCAAAGGCATGCCAGAGCGTCGTCACTTTCCCACTCCTCCACCAGCATACCAGACCGTCGTCACCTTGATATCCCCTAAACCACCCTTCTCAACCCATACCAAGTGTACAGTGCATGCCAAATTTGGAGGCGTTGGGAGAGGGATGGCAAGATTGAATCTACAATCAGCTCTTTGCGACCTCTGCGCCAGGCAGGTCACGTCGCTTGATTTGACGCCAACGACAAGGGTATGAAACTTAAGCAGCAAAACTACCATCAAAGCCCTGAAAGCCGGCAAGCATGAACAAGTTACGAAATGGCTTCTTCTCCAGCTTGCCACACCAGTTCCAGGCACTCGTGAGCCGTCCTACAGAAGCAGATGCGGCATGAGAAGGAAGACCAGACACTCGTGCAAACCAACCCAATTTAATTTTTACCCCTTTGTTGGGCCAGCCTTTCCTCGCGAATCTCTCTTGACCAGCGCAAGAAAAAAACAAGCCGGAAAAATGACAAACCGTCAATGCAAGAGCCTCCGTCATCGCCGTCCCCGTTAAAGGCGAAACGGAAAAAGTCCTGCAGGATGCGCTGACGCAGGTGCTCCGTCGTCTTGAACACACCAATGTAAGCCGCCGTGTTGGCATCCTTCTCAAGCTCCTCAATCCGATCCAACGCATGCACTACACAAGTAAGAAGGGATTTCAATAACCCCAACAGCAGCCAGCCATGAACCAGGACCTCCCGCTAGACGCTGGCGCAGGCAGACACGATTCCATTTTTTGCCTCTGCAGAAGTCGATACAAACCAATTGGACCCAAGATGCGCGGCACCTGGGTGTACTGTGCAAGCAAAAGAACCAACGCGGAAACCCGTGAGAATTTTAAACCATGGCCGAGCGACACAACAGGCCCACTCCTCAAGGCCTTAACACACATCCCTTCAGTGTCAGACCAAATCATGGCCATGTCAACTGAGGGCAGACTTGCTGTGCTTCCAGGGGAACTACCTCGCTCCCTCAGACAGCGAGCAAGTGAACAAACCTTGTCGATGAAAATGAGGGCATTGGGCACGTCACGATCGCCCAGGTGGACCACACTCAAGCCCACCCACTGACCGCATTTGCTCTGCACGGACCTGTGGAAGGGCCCGCAGGGTCGAGGAAGACGAGATGAGGCCACTGCCCATGCACACAACCACCCGTTGTTTTGCCAGGAGCAGCCGGCAAGACCCAAGGGCTGACCGCAAGATCTTTTGCATGGCATTGCCGACGGTGGGACAGCTCTGCACGCGATTCAACCCTTGTCCCGTATTGGACAGAGAGTAATAGGCCCCGGGGCGCAGCAGATCTTGATCGGCGGCCCACCACAGGTGGAACATTTTCTGCGTGATCTAAGTAAGAGGTGGCACGGCAAAGGGGGTAACAGCAAACAATTGCAATGAGTGACGGGCTCATGAATGCGTGTCGATCAAAACAGGCTTGAGACTCCAATTGTAAATCTGAAGGGGAGGAGCCAACCTCCTTCCACAGGGTCAGAGTCTGCTTGACGTAGGTGTATTGCTGACTGTGACTGTGTGAGAGCTTGCTATTCTGCATGCTGTACCTAAAGCGGACCGACCATAACACCCAGCGCCAGTCGATAGGAGCACGGTGAGTGCGGTGGAAGCTCACTGCAAGTAGGATCTGTTGTGTTCCGTCATGTCAAAGAGATACGGAGAGAGACCAAAAGAGGAGAAACCACAAACACACGCACGCACACACACACACACACACACACACACACACACACACACACACACACACACACACACACACACACACACACACACACACACACACACACACACACAGAAAAAAAACAAATGAAAAAAAGGCAAAAAATGGAAAAGGAATAGAAAAGCAAGTCGTAGTCCAAAAAAGCATGAGGGTGTGCGGTGTGCGGCCCCCCATGGCCAAGCCGAACCGAATGGAGAGGTCGGCAAAATCGTCCTGGGATGATGCCGAGGGATCAAAGTACTTGTCCAAGTGCTGCAGCATGCGTAAGACTGGTCCACTCGCGCTCGCCTGTGAGGAACCCAGACGGCAAAGGTCAGGGCTCCGCTGATGGGCATGGACCGGGTTAACAAACCAAAGAGCACGTGAGCAGGCCAAGGCACCCACTTGGTAGTTGTTACTATCACTGATCGAGAAGACGATGCGTTCAATGTCGTCTGCAGTCAACTGCTCGGTACTATACGAGTCCTTGAGATGTTGCAGGGCCGCGTGCTTTCGGGCCACCATAGTGGCAGCTGCCTCAGCGTCGAGAATCAGGGTTGTCTAGGTGGTTAGATTAAAGAGTGCCAAACCACGCCGGGTTACACCAGGGGCAGTCATGATCAGCGCAAACAACACAGTGGCCAGCGTGGTAGGATGGGCCTGCTTGAACTCACGTCCGAGGCAGCTACCAGCAGCTGCTCGTCCAGCAGCAAGGCTTCACCACCGCGTGCTCGTGCAAAGTTTGTCACGGTGAGAATCTCTTTAGTGAGCTGCATACCCAGGCGACTCTGTCGACCGACAACGTCGATTCCGAGTCAAAGAGGGAGGAGGATGAGATAGAAGAAATGGAAGGGGCGCAGTCTAGACCGGGAAACAGGGCCAGAGCGACGGCCGCGTACCGCAACGCGACTGCTGGCAGCATCCATGAGCAGATACATGAGCTTGCCATAGGTCGAGCGCATCAGATCCGGGTTCATAATTTTGAAGCGCCGTGCCACCTGTCACGGGCAAAAGGTGAGCAACAAGAACACAAGTGGAGCCCCGATAGCAGCATTGGAGGGGCCTTCAACACTGCTGTCGACACCCTCCCACAGCGTCTGCTCGCGTCGAGCCTGCGTGCGATACCTCGAACAAATCCTGAAAAAGTCGTTCGTTTTCCTGCAGACTGCGCCGAACTAGCTTGACGGTGGTCTTGTAGTTGACCACGGCATTCAGTCCCAACAGGATCTAAGCGCCCCGCCAGATTTGAGATGCTTTTGAACGTGCACGCATGGGCATTGTGGCTGGCCCAAGTCTTGGCATGGGTCAGGGTTGGAGATACACCGACCTCGCAGACATTCTCCAGCTGCTCCAGGATGATTTCCTCACGATTGTACCGCCGAACGTCGACCTGGCGCGCACCTCCCCCAAGGTGTGATTAGGAAGCCGCCCTGGGACCAAGCTACAGCAGGCTCGGAGATGCGAGCACGAACGGCAGAGAAGTGCGCTTGCAGGCGGTGCAAATATACAAACCTCGTCAGTGTATTCGCTGGTCTTGAGAGCCCCCTCGACAACACGCAGCATCTCACGCTCTTGGTCATTTAGTCGCATGGGAATATAATCATAGGACTCGTAGTACATGGCTCGCCTAGCGTCGATCGAGATGCAACGAACGCCAAGGGATGAGGCAACATGAACAAGACGCTCAACTTGGTTCTTTGTCTGTCTGTCTCTGTCTCTGTCTCTGTCTCTGTCTCTGTCTCTGTCTCTCTCGTTTCTGGGCGTACCTCGTTTCTTCAAGCTCAGCGGCCACCTTGTCACTCTATAAGGAGTCGAAAGGAGGAGAGGGAGAAGAGGGCAGACGGGTGCAAGTGCCAAGGCGGCGCAAGACGTGAGGATTGAGGATTGAGGCAAAAACGAGGTCGGAGAGAATGCCCACTCACCCGCGTGCTGCGTGTTCGCCGCTCCACCAGCTCTACACCGCATGCACCAACCAGCAAGCAAGGCAAGAATGAGGAGAAAGGCAGTGCCTTGCCAGCCATACTGCCGTCACATGTTCTAAGCAACGAGCTGCGTTTTGTCCAAAATTTAGGAACCGAGGCTACCTTCTGAATCGAGGGGCTTGTCCTGCGGAGTTGGCACGGCAATGCCAGCAGACTCGGGCACCAGCTCCCCGAGCAAGGGCTCCTTTGGATGTTGACGACGGCGACCTCGACGGTGCTGCTGATCAAAGCAGGGGCGACAGAAACTCTCATCGCATGCCTTGCATCTATCCAGTCAGCAGACAGACGCGTGTATCAAATCTCGCGTGTGCCAGTCGAAAGGCTACCCTCCCCCGCATGTCATTCATTCCGCACGTCGGTGACAACACACGCGACCGCAGACGTACAATACTTCAGCCGCCTGGTCCTCACACTCGACACAAATGATCAGCTCTGGCGCCGTGCCCTCAGCACCACCATGGCCCTCGGCACTGGCCGCAGCGGTCGGTCCAGCTGCCACACTCGCTGCCATTGCTCCTTGTTCCATCCAGCGCCCAAATCACCAAGACAAGACACGAAGAAACTGGCCCTTCCCTTGCTGACGCTTGGACGTGGGCATGTGAGTGAGTGTGTCTCTTCTCTCTTCTCTCTTCTCTCTTCTCTCTTCTCTCTTCTCTCTTCTCTCTTCTCTCTTCTCTCTTCTCTCTTCTCTCTTCTCTTCTCTCTTCTCTCTTCTCTCTTCTCTCTTCTCTCTTCTCTCTTCTCTCTTCTCTCTTCTCTCTTTCGAGTTTCAACAACCGTCACTGGGTTTGTCAGCTGGAGTGTACTCACTCTTACTTAACTTCAACGGGGATGATGGCGTTGCCGTTGGGATCGCGGCCAACAGCGCGGCGAACGCTTCGGCAGCGGTTTTCGCTACGAGTGCGACAGACGGAAAGCGATCCCCTCTTGACGTTGATAAAGGAAGCACCGCATCTTGCGGTGACGGATGTTGCCCTTCGATTGGTAGAGCTGACGGCTGAGCGACCCGATGCTTTGGCCGCCAAGCTTTGGTTGCGTGAGCTGGTTCTAGAGCAACCCCAACTGGCACCCGACAGTGATGCTTATCTGCCTGCCCGCCTGATTCGGGAGCTCCGCGATGCCCCCGAGCAACTCGTCCTTAATGCGATGCGGCAAATGAGCGAGGGATCTGCCAAGATCCCGCAGCTGCAGGCCGCCCGTCTCGTGACACAGCATCACCGCCGCCTAGCTGCTCCTGCCGCCATCCTCAGTGTGCTTCGGGAACATGCCGCCCTCAGTGAGGCGTGGGCCTTGCGCATGTTGGGATTGCAGTTGCTAGACCATGAGCACGGTGCCGAGGCAGCCCGTGTCCTTGATCTCAAGGCCGATGAGCCTCTCACGGCGGGCTTTGACATGCTTCAGCAGGCTGCGCACCTCCAACATGCCACAGCCATGACGGCGCTAGCGCGCTGCCATGAACTCGGCATTGGCACGCGCTCCAACCTCGATGAGGCTTTGGCTTGGCTCGAGTCGGCAGCCGATCTTGCTGAGCCCATAGCTGCACACCGCCTGGCCGTGCTTCTCGGAAAATCCTCGGAACCCCGGTCCACTCGTGAGGCGAACGAAACACAGCCGCCGCAGCGGGATCAGGCTGTACCGGATCGCATTGTGGCGTTGCTGTGCGCATCCGCCGCCAAAGGCCTTCCCGAGGCACAAGTGGAACTTGGCGTGCGCGCCTATCGGGGCCTCGAGGCCCCGACCCTTGCACTGCTGGCCTTGGATGACATTGGGCTGGAAGACAGCTTGCCTGAGCGCATTGCTCGCGAAGCACCAGCGATACGACTCTTTCGGGCCGCGGCGCGGCAGGAGCATGCAGAGGGTCACTTTAATCTGGGATTGTGTTACCAGCACGGTCGTGGGGTGGCGCCGAACCGAGGGCTAGCCCGCGAGCACATGTTGCTGGCGGCAGAACTGAGCCATGGCCCGGCCTGGAACCAGCTTGCGATACTAGAAGATAACACCCCGCTGCTGGCAAGGGTACGGGGCGTGTCTCTTTCGGCCAAGCAGCGCAATCACCTCAACAAGGCCCTGGAGCAAGGCTGCACCGTGTCCGGCATCACGCTGGCCTGGCAGCACGTCATGCAGGCCATGGGAGAGACGCGGGCCGTGGTGCAGGGGCCCATGCTGGAATTTCTGCGCAATAGTGCGCAACAACAGCACCATCCTCGGGCGCAATTTCTTTTGGGCTGCTGTCTTGAATATGGTTTGGACGGAGAGGGCACCCGTGACATCTGGCAGGCCCTGCAGCTGTACGAATCGGCTGCTGCCGGCGGTTTTGCCGAAGCACAGCTCCGATTGGGCTATGCTTTCTTCTTGGGGGAAGGACGTCCCGAGCGAGCAGATCGCGCTGTTGCGCTGTTTCGTCAAGCAGCCAGGCAAGAGCTACCAGCCGCCATCAATAACCTGGGCGTGGCCCACTACCACGGGGTGGGTGTCAAGCGGGATCTGGCTCAAGCCGCTCTTCTGTTTGTACAAGCTAGTCAGGACGGAAACCTGGCGGCCACTCGCAACCTTGCCGTATGCATGGCCTTGGGTCATGGCGTGGCCAAGGACGTTGAAGAAGCCGCTGAGCTGCAGCGGCTCGCGCCTCACACACAGACCCATCCCCACCATGGCCTCTTCATCTAGGTCCCTTTCACCCCAGCATCTTTATCAGCATGTCAGATCTTTTTTCAAACCTCGCAATTTATGAGAATAGTTTCCGTCTATGTTTTCTGCTGCCAGACATTCAAAATTTCGCATAAGCAACTTTGGTAGAAATGGGATGGAACTCAAATGGCCCTTTTTTCTTTTTCTTTTCTTTCCATTGGTTATTATTTCCAATATTTTTCACCCCGCGGCCGACCCCCGGCTGCCCTTTGCTCTTGTCCCTCTCTTTCTGTCGACATAACCGTCAGCGAACCGTTACCGTAACATACACGCACACAAAACTAGAATTCCTGCGGTGGGTTTTGGCGGGAAAATTTGCCTTTCGTCGACAAACCAGGATCGGATCGGTTTTGCAAGAGGTGAGTGACAGGATTACTCTGTGCCCGGGACTGCCCGCTTGCGCTGCCCTCCGTGGATGACGGAGGGAGGATGCCGCTGCCAGATGGTGCACGTCTCAACTTGTTCTCGCCGACGGCTTGCACCCACTGCCAAACACAGCTGGCCTCTTCTGCGAACCCCAAGGGCCCCAGAGTGGCCGTTGAATTTTAGGTTGAATGACCATCAGTCATGGCCGACGCCGCTGTGCCGTCGCAGCAACCGACCGAAACGCACACCCCCAGCGATGCGGTACGCACGCGCTCGTGGCAATATGGCAGCTTCGGCTTGGCTTCTTTTGCTGTATTGTGCTCTCTGTTTTTGTTTTTTTGTTTTTCCTATCGAGTCTGCTTGGGCCTCACCTCTACCTCTTTATCTTCCTCTCCTTTCATCTCTCGTGTTTCTTGCGGTGACCTGCCGCTCTGGCCGCCTCATTCGCATGTGTGATCATCTTGATCCGCACCACCCACACCGCCCCTGGATGACTCAATGTTCAAACACAGCCCGACGGTGGCTACGGTAATTACATGTCAGACATGACCATGGCGCAGCAACCAAGCATAGAGCCACAGCCCACCATGCCACCTGGTGCCGCTTCGGAGAGCGAGGAGCGTGCAGACGAGACAGAACCTAATCATGATGAGGCAGACCTCCCCGACCATCAATATCAGCACGAGCATCAGCACCAGCACCAGCACCAGGGCTACCATAGCCTAGCACAGCAGGTTCGCACTCGAGCAAGCCTATGCCCCTGGCTCCTTTTATCAGTATTGTTGTTAAAATCTTTGTTAGGAGTGATTTGACTGACTGTCTGCCGCTCTTGCTCTTGCGCAGGCGGATCCTTCAACGCCCGGTGTCGCCACTCCTGCCGGCAATGGCGCTGCCATGCAGGGTCTGACCTCCTTAGGGGGTCCCGTTCTCCTGCCGGGCCACGCTCAAGGCCTGCCACCCAACTCATATCATCTGGCTCAAAATATGACCCCCATGATCAATTACCAGGGCGAAGGTGGCTACCTGCCTTCCCCAAGCCATGCCATGGATGCCCCGGCCGGCGAGGAAATGATGCAAAACGCCGTGACGCTGTTTGAAAATGTCCGTTGTCTCGACCTCGCAATCAGTTGTTGCGTGCATTGGCTCACGTCTTGTCCTGTATCCTATGTACAGCTCTTCCCAGCCTGTGTACCTGCAGTCATGGAGAATAGCATTCCTGAAGAGATGGTATGTTTTCCATCTGGCTTTTTCGCCTATTGGCCGTGGCTTTCCGCCTGTTCGCCGTGGCTTTCCCGCTTATCGGCCGTGGCTTTCAACTTTTATCATGCTGTGGGATATCTGATGGTGCACGTTGGATTCATTCATGGCCTGGCCGCACCTTGCTGATAGATAAGCAAAGCACGCGGCTGGAACAAGGCGGACCTGAGGACCGTGCTTAGTAGCATTCCACTCCGTGAGCGACTTGACCTCATGCTTATTCCGCGCTCTTTGTTCGAACTGGCCGTCAAAATGCGCCGTGATCACAGCAATGGGGCTCCGCGCACGCGGTTCAGCGTGGAAATCAGCTCTGAAGATAGTGATGCCAGCGGACGCAAACGCACCCGATTTCGTTGCCTTGCCTGTCACCGCCACCATGGCTTCCACTCGGGCCTGCAGCATGTGGGCTCATCGCTCCGCTGTCCACGTCGCAATGGGCAATTGGATTGGACACAATGGAATCCTTGCCCATGGGCCGTCTTTGGCTTATCCTTCATCTGCACTTGCCTCCGCCCGATGCCGCAAAGCCAGAAACGCAAGAATGACGAAGACTACGAGGACGAGGGCGAATTTCAGGCCAAGACCCCGCGCCCGAGCACAGACTACACCCGCCTGAGCGGGCCGTCTGGGGCTGGCACGCCAGCAGGTGCCGCACCTCCCCTGGCACTGGCTGGATCCCAGCCGGGCACCGTTATGGCCCGGGTGCCCCCGCTAGCATTTAACGCTCAATTTGGCTCGCCAGCGCCCGCCCGCTTGGGCCCAGGCATGGGTGCCATGTCGCTTGAGGGCACGAGTCTCGATGGCTGGCTCATGCAACTGGAAAAGTTCAAAGACGACCTCGAGTCCTTCTATGCCAACGTTAGTCAGCAACACTCGGTGTTTATCGCCTCCATCAACAACATGCAAAGTCAGCTCATGCAAGTGAAAGCCGCCGAGGAGCACGCCCCGTCGGCTGCCGTGGCCAGCAGCCAGCAGTCTTAGGATATGTGGCCACTTTACTCATGCTGAGGTGGTGGGCATCCGTGTGGCATCCGTTTGACCTTTTTTTTCTTGTGTGTGTGTGCGTGCGTCTGTTGCGCGCCTATTGCTGGTTTTCTTTCCCTCGCCTCCCCCCTTGCCCCGTAGTTGGGTGGTCAAAAAACGGGTGAGCGTGCTTCGGGTACAAAGGCATGACGCCTGCTGTGCAGGGTCATGCATCAAGTTGCTTACCGACGCCGAACCCGACTCTCTAATTGGACTTTGCCTTCCCTGGTCGTTTTGCTGGTGTGATCGTTCTGTTTTCCATTTGGTGTTGTTTTGTCGCTGTTGGCGGTGTTGTTGTTGTCGTCATTGCAGACACCACTCCAGGCTGTCGTAGCCGTGTTGCCGGTCTCTGCTTATGGAACTGGCCAGTGTACAAATTTTATTGAGTTTAGAAGGATAAAAGAGGATTGTCTCTCGCACATGCCCCTGTCTGACCCATCGCCACTCTACCTTCACGACCCATCAAATCGACTCCCTCAAGCTGCAGACCACACCTCTTTCTCCCATCACTGCGTCTCTCTTGACCTCTCTCTTGAACTCTCTCTTGAACTCTCTCTTGAACTCTCTCTTGAACTCTCTCTTGATTGAACTCTCTCTTGAACTCTCTCTCTTGAACTCTCTCACCCTCCCACCTCTCTCTCAAACTCTCTGTCTCTGTCTTTCAAAAATCTTCTCTCTCTCTCGCTTTTTTGATGACTCACACACTTGCGCTCCAGAAATTGGTTCGCGTTGAAGTTGTGGTGGATCAACGATGCTCAAGGAGTGTCAGTGAGGTTGGATCTCGGCCCTGGTGGTGTGTTGCCGCTCCCAGGTGCACCTTTTTCATCAACAGCGCAAACAAGCAAACGCATTCTCGAGCGGGCGGACGACGCCAGTCTTGCTGGCCGAGGGTGCAGTTGGGATTCGTGCACCATGGCCACGGGCGCGCTCACTCCCGAGCTGGAGAAGTACATTGAACAAAACTATGTCTTTGCCAAGCTCCCTGCTCCTGTGCAACAGGTACGACCGCCGCGAAAGCTGCAGGCGATGCCAAATGGCGAGCCGTCACTGCCTCACACGCTCCGCAGACTGCCAGCTGTGTGCAATCTGCTAATGCTGCTCGCTGCTGACTCTGGCCCACGACGTGCTGGCTAGGGTCTTGGAGGGTCGAAGCGCGAATACGATAAGCTTGTCGTGCAGTATTCCCTGTCGCATCAGCTGCGCTACAAAAAAGCGCTGGGTACGCTGCAGATGCCATGGCGCTTCAGTTAGGATCTTGATTTGTGTCGTGTCGAAGTATGTGACAGCTCAAGGCGCACACTGTGGCTCGCCCGATACCTGACATCCTATTGCAGTGCGCAAGCTCGTCCCCGATGAGCTCCAGTATTATCAACAGCTCTTGCACCACAGCCGAGAACACATGATGGTGGGATCTTGTCGCACCCCACTGCGCCTTTGTTATCCGCAAAAGGCCTCATGATCGTCTTGGGCCCAAACGTCATAGCTGTACCCCTATCACCTGGCAGATGTGCTCATCTATCGCCTCAACGAGACACCGTTCTCCTACTACCATGCCATTCTGTCCCATATGCTGTCATCGGACCGCAGCTATGATGCCCTTCCCAACTTTTCGGCAACTGACTGTGCGTCACGAGTGAGCAGCTCCATCCGTGACAATGCCCGGCAAAACCCGGCAGTCCACTTGAATAAAAGCGCCGAAACTCTTTCATTGAGAGCTGACCACATGCCTTGCATACTGCTCGACAGGTTTGGCCTTGGTAGGCATTGGCCGCAACGAGTATATTGATCTCCTCAATGACAGCAAGTCGGGACGGGTTGGTCAAGCCATGTCCGCCGCCGCTCACTGCGCTGCGCTGTGCTGCTGGCGCAGCTTTTGTCATGAGGATGCTTATGCACTTGACATGCTTGACTGACACTTTCAAACGATGGCTAGGGCATGTTTCGCAAGCGCATCAACCCCAAAAACCTCCTGCCCAAACAACCGGTAGCTCGTTGCACCCCGGTCGTGCCACCCCCATCATGCAAGTTAGGACCCTCGCCTGGGTCTCATCTCACTGGTCTGATGATGTATGACGCAGCTTCCACCGCGCAACCTGCGTCATTGGTGGCTGATCCGAGTGGGGCGAATCACCGAGAATGACATCAAGGTCTGCTGTTTCGCGCCTCGCGTGTGACTTTTCGTGCCAACTTGCTTCAGACCCTCCTCAAGTTGTTTTGGTTCACCCGAGCTCCACGCCGGCTCCGTGCCCCCTCATCGTTTGATGTACTGCCACTTAACTCAATTAGCTTGCGACTGTCGAGGAAAAGGCTCTCATTGATCGCCTCATTGATAGTGGACCCCAGCCCGCCGGCAAATTCAATCTGCAGTTGCTCAACAGTGCGTCCACCACCATACCGGGTGGCCTGGGCAGACCTTTCCTGCTGTGTCGACTGCAAGGCATTTTATTCATGGTCAAATGTTCTAGGCATGTTTGTGAAGCAATTCATTCATCTGGATGTCCCTGTCCAAGATGACGACCTGATCAAGGTACGCGTCGCGCACACGAGCGCGACCTGTGTTGATGGCCCCCAGGGAATCGCCCTTGCACGTGAAGGCCCTTTGCCTCCTGTCGGTCCTCCAAACCTATAGTCCTCGCCCCCCTCTGTGCCGGTGTTCTCATGTGCTTCATGACGTAGATACCCCCCTTGGAAGGATTCGTGATGAACCGTGTGCTAGGCGACTATCTCGAGCAACTGCTGTACAAGATCTTTGTGTCCGTTGATGAACACACCACCTTGGGCGATTTGGCCACGATCCTTCGCGTCAGCCCCCACCGCGTACGGGATGCCGTATCAATGTACTGCCGCCTAGGATTTGCTGTGAAGAAAAATGTCGATACGGCCGATGCGCTGGACCAATGCCACCCCTCTTGGATGGCCAAGGCCGAGGCACTGCGTGCCTCGACGCGGACAAGTGTCGCAACATTCGACATCCGGCCCTCCGATGGCCGGCGAAGAATCGGTGTGGTGTTTGATGCCAACCTGGCTGCCATTCTCATGATGGGTAACCTCAGCCCCGGGCTCAAGAAACATGCCGTGACCATGTTTGAGGCAAGTGGCAAGCGTTGTCGTTGGTCGCCCGCTGACGATGCCCATAAGTGTGTACCCGGCTGCCTCTGACCATCGTATTTTGGCAGGCCGGTAAAATTACGGAAGAGACCATGGACGAATTCTTGAGCGAGTTGGACCAGACGGTTGTGTCTGGGGAAGGGCAGACCCAGGAGTACACGCGTCAGGCATTGATCTTGCGCGACGCTCTCCGGTTCCTACGTCATAATCAAGCCGTTGATATTCCAGGCCTCACCGACAATGAGCAGGATGCCAAGGCCGAATCCATGGTTAGACGCACGGCAACAGGCGCTTACGCAACGATCAGCAGCTTTGCTCTTTGTGTGGGAGATATCGAGTGCTCACCCAAGCGGCCTTTCAACATCGTCTGGGGGGGGGATGGGATAGGATGGAGCTGGAGTGGACCTGCTCAAGTGCGAGAGCGTGCTTAGCTTGGACCGCGCAACACAGCAGCGCGTGTTGGAACGCGCGTATAGCCTGCTCATCACGCTGGCTCCGCTTGGGCAAGAGACGGCCTCCATCTCGAGCGTCAAGCCCTTTCACCACGGGCCCGCCATCCCCGAATGCGGCACCATATGGTTTCGCTTGTGGCTAGCCAGTCTGGTGCGTGGGCTGTTCCTGGTGTGCAAAAGCCCGCTTCACACCAGCCGACTGACTGATGTCTTTGCCACCTTGGTTCTCACGACCCTCACGCTTATCTCAAACGTGCTCACGTGTGTGTGTCACAACGTATAGGTATCACGGGCACCTCCTGCATACTTGCTAGCTTGTGGGACTGTACTCTGGGGTCTGCCTGGTAAATTGCTTGAATACGACGAATGTTTGGTAGTCACGTGCGGTCATGAGCCCACGGTGCAGCCCACCGCCGATCTCTTGATGACCCTGAACGGTAAGTACCTTGTCCAGACACGGGTGACACTGGCCACTCAACAGACCAGTGGATCGCCGCGTATGTCGACTCATGATGTGACGGTGTACCACTTTCCTAGACGCTTTGGCCCACTCGCCCGTCTTTGTACAGGGCTATCGTCGCCATGCCGATGCTGATTTAAGCATTGAACATGTGCCTTTGACCGTGCCTCCAGCAGATGCCATGGATCGAGTGGCAACGTTGGTGGCAAACTCGCGCCCAGCTCAACCCTCATTCCCAGCGCTGTCCGCGACCGATGAGAATGCATCCCTAATTGATCTGGACGACGCCTTGCCAGCCTTGGGCTCAGCACCGGCGCCAGCCCCAACCGACTCTGACTCACCTCTTATTGACTTGGGAGCTGCGCCCGGAGAAAGCTCGACTGACGCAGCCCCCTCGGCTACCGCTGCTTTGGCAACCACTGATTCGACGCCCAGCGCTCCCTCGCTGACGGCTACTCATGCGGAAGCCGTTACTCGCTGGACAGCACTGCATGCTCAACTGGGACTGGGTGATCTCTGTGCCCAGCTTCAGGTCGGCCCTCGCACTGCAGGTTACATCTCTGTAGTTCGTGAGCGCTCCCCGGCGCCGGCAGAGCCGAGTGGAAAGCCAGCCACAGCGACAGACCCTAGTGCAGATGCTAGCCTGGCCTCGATCGAGCCTCCTAGTCCGGCCGAGCCCGATGCACCCCAAACCAGCTCGCAGCCTGTTTTAGGGACTAAACCTGAAGATGATGATGATGATGCTGTGCGCAAGGAAAGCATCGCGTCTTCTGAAGCCCCGTGGCGCGTACATGAAGTGCAGTTTGGAATGCCCATTTTTGATGCGACCTTGAGCCGGGCTGTCCAGTGCTCGTTTCTGCGCACCACTGACTCGGCGGGAGAGAGCACCGAGCTGTATCATCAACGTGCCCTGAGTGTGCGCTTGCTGCAATTCATTGCGACACATGGAGTAAGTGCTTGACAATCATCGGCAAGGCAGAGAAGTCACTACACCTTGGCGACCGTTGATTCCCTTCGTTGAAATATCAATCTCATTTCTTGGCCGTGTTCATAGGCTAGCATGGATGATTTGGCGCACAACCTCAATGCGCGCTCATCAGGGTACCGCGTACCCTATCCTCTGGTGTCATTGCAGTGCGTTGACAACAAAGTGATGCCTTTCGAGAGCCATTGAATTGCCTAATACTGATCTACGATGGCAGACTCTTGACCGAGGCTAGCCCCATTTGCCGTGTCTTGTATGTTGATGAATTAATTAAGTGATTGAGGATACTTTAAAGCGCCAAAGGCCATAATGACTGCTGGCAGAGTGTGGAAACGTGAATTTCAATTATACTTGAGCACAAAGAGCTCTGCTCTTTTAAAACCGCTTTAACTCGCCGATTGCAGGCGGTAGATCACGCGCTCAGTGATTTGCCAGTCGCCATCTGGATAGTGGGAGACATTGCGGGTGCGAGAAAGCACCTGGTCGTTGGGCCCGGGCTGACCCGTAAATTCATCGCTACTAAACAGACGATGGGCACGTCCAGAGGCTTTGTGCGTCTTTTCTTCAACCTTCTGAACCACCTCTTGTGCGCCATGATGAACGGTGTGAGCAATCTTGGGTGCCAGAGTCGTCATGGTGAATTGAGTGGGGATCAAAACCCCGGGCACACGCTCCTTGTAGCGAGTCCACAGCTCACCGTATCTGAAACAAGAGTGCAATCCAAAAGGTATGCTTTTGTGAGCCCTTTGTCTAAAACGTGCAAGAAGCAAGGCGAGGTGTGTCTTGTATCCGGCTGAATAAGGGGTGAAAACATACTTGCTGGCACACCGAGCCTCGTCACGGTAAATACGATGGGTCAAGAGCACAGTCAGGTACATGAGGTAGTACCAGGGGACCCAGGAGGTAATACCCGCCGGCAGCGTCCAGAAAAAAGTGAGCAGCAGCTCAAACGTGTAATTGATCTTGCGAGCCGTCCAAAAGCCGTCCACCAGCAGTCGCCGTTTGCCGTCCGAGATAAAGCTGGCTGGTCGACGACCAAAGCCCAGCCAAGAGATGGTGCCATCGTTCTTGAACTGAGTCTTTTGCAGATCAATGCCGTAATTAATTACCATTGAGGCGATTCCACAGACGATGCTGAGGTAGGCCACAAAGGGGGTGGATGTTTCGCCAAGCTTGCTGGCCATGGCATACGAAGGTGTCAAATAGACAAGGGGAAGGAAGGAAATGCACCCATAGGCCAGGTAATAGCCGACGCGATCATGCATGATATCCAGCGTGTGGTAGTAGCCGTGCTCCCACCAGAAGAACTTGAAGAGATATGCCTGAATAATTTCACAGGGTTGACAAGTGAGAAGTGATTGCGCTGTCTTGGAAAGCAAACATGAGACAGATCAATGGGCGTCAATCGAAGAAGAGAAAACGCACATGCATGACTGTTGTGTGGGCCAACATGCCCCACGTCATGCCGTCGTTTCGCTTGAAGTTATCCAGAGCAAACAAGGAGGCAAAAATGAGCCACAGCGTCATGCCCCAGCGGCAGTTGGTCCAATTCTGTTGGCGAGGAAAGCAAGTCGTGTTCGCGTGTGAGCATGCTGGTGTGAGAGCAGCAGGGGCATAGAGTGCAGCAACGGGAAGTTGACCCTGACCTTGATCTGAAGATTGCGGCCATCGAATGATGGATACAGCTCGAGGCCGGAATAAAATTGTTCGATGATGCCACCCAACGTCAGTTTGGGGGCCTTGGCCACGGGGCATGTGGGCCAAATACAAGCCCGGGCGTAGAGAAACAGGGCTACCGAAAATCCAATGACGGTGCTGGCGCGAATCAGATCAGGGTAGACGTCCACAAACAGCACATCACCGGGTTCCACGTTGGCCATGTAGCAAAAGTAGCCAGCCACGACCACAGCCCAGGTGAAGCAGGACTGGAACGGGCCGAGCTTGGGATGCCGGGCACGCTTGTTGGAGCCGTCTGGCAAGGCTGGTCCAAAATACGGCTTGCAGCGCGCAAGGCGGTCAAAGATGATCATGCCAATGACTTGGGAAAGGCCAAAGGCAGCGATGGCACCAACGGCCCAAATTTCAACGGTGAACTGGCGGGCGCGCACATGGGGGTTGGTCATTAAGGCCTGAAAGGCAGCCAGGAGATTGCCTCGACGGTGTTCAACGGCTTCCAACAGCAAGGGCATGGAGCCCATGCTCCAGATCATAAGCAAGAGAGGCAGTGTAGCACTACGCAGGTCGGCCAGGTTCCAGAAGGACGGCCGCGTGTCGGGCTTTGTCGGCGCCATCTTGCTGGTAGGCTCGACAAGACAGGCGGTACAAAGGCCCAGATGGCGCGATGGGAGCTTGTCGAGAGCAAAGTCGTTGGCTCGTGAGAAAGAGAAAGGCAAGAAGAAGAAGCTGTGTCAGCGGGGCAGAGCTGGTGAAAAATGGGCAGGGATGGGATCCGTGACAGCATGGCCAAAGTCGGAGGAGCCGTGTGCTCGGCATGTGGGAGCCCGCTCATGACGTGAACTGGCTTGCCCCTGGCACTAGGTGGATGCAATCATAAGAGGGCGCACTGCACGGCGCGGGCGGGGGCGCTAACGAAAGGCCGAAATGTCCCGAGAGGAGCGGTCGAGCCTATGATCAGCTCATCACTTGGCATCCAAGGCGTGCGTTGCGTGTGCAACCTCTCGGCATTTGGAGCCCTGGATCAAGTCAGCCGGGGAGCCATTCATCAAGCTGGAGGCTTGAGCCCATTGCAAGCCGTGCAATGTTCTAAAGCAGCGACCACACGACTCACAGCCAATCATTACAGCACACCAATACGTCACGAAGTGTAGACCTGTGGCAATGTCATGTCCGAGTACAGGTGTGAGCCAGCCATCACCACCGTCCGTCCGTCCCGTCAGCAACAAGTTCCCAGGCACTTGATTGCACGTGTAAGACAATTTCTTGTCAGTATTTGTCAGCATGTCAGACGCTATCGGCGTTTTCGATTTTATTTCGGACGGGTGTTGACGTGCTCTCTTAAGTTGAACGCTTCACACACACACACACACACTCACACTTACACACACACACACACACGCATTTGGCGCCACGAGACGAGAGACGGCGGGACCAGAGGGCAGACGTGAGGCTGGCTGGCTGGCTGAGGTGAAGACGAAGCGGGTGGGCAGGCGCAACAAGAATAACAACAAGTGACTGGAGGCCCGTTGACGCCGCGTGCAGTCCATTCTGAGGCTTTTCCTTCTTTGTGTTTGAGTTCTCGCTTGAGGGTTTGAATTATTTTTCTTTCAGGCGGGTCAAAATGGCGGCCGGCGGTCAGAAGGCGCCCAAGCCATCGGCCCAGAAAAAGACTGTGTCCCCTGGCAAGACTGTCGCAGCAGCAGGAGCTGCCCCTTCGAAAAAGGCAAACAACAAAACGAATGGCAAGAGCAAGGATCGGTAGGTACAGCTTGCGGCCCGTCACTCCTACGCACATGCGGTGGCATCCTCTCGCAACACACGGACTCATGACGCTGTATTTTGACACACCAGGGGAACAAAACCGTACTTGAGTGAACCTTACAGGATGCAGGACGTAGCCGTACCCACCAATGAACAGTGGGCGCACATCAAGGCCGTGGTGGCAGAGACGTTGCAACCGATCGCCGACGCGAAAGCGCATCGCCGTGCCGAGCGTAATCTGGCGCGCCGTGGTCGCTTCCCAACTCGCCGCCAGCTTCGCGCCGCCCAATCAGCAAAAGATGCTGCGGCCGATGCACCAACTTCTCGTACGCAGCCTCCCCCTTTCCTTTACAAGGTTCAAGCCGCACAGGCCTCACTCACCTTCTCATTCACTTCCTCGCTCTTCGCTTTGCAGCGACGGATGGCCCGCCTTCCAAGCGAAAGAAGGAGGAGCCTCACACAACTCCTCAAGAAAAAACGACGGCCAAACAAAAGTCTGCTGATTCACCCAACTTGATGCAGGGCTTAGCCCTCGGCATCAACCATGTGGCACGCGCAATCGTGTCCCAACAAGCTGTTTTGGTTCTTGTCGAACGCAATACCCAGCCCTTTGCACTCGTGCAACACCTGCCCGAGCTCTGCCAGCGCCATGAGGTTCCCTTGTGCTTGGCCAACGGTGTGGAAGACTTGCTCCGACCTTTGCTTCAGTGTCGCTGCAAGGCACTAGCTTTTCTCAAGTCCAGTGAGATGGAGCAGGAAACGGCCACCACCGCCATTGCCAAACTGTTGCCCTTGGTGCCCGTGCCTGACCTCCCTTGGCTTGCGGACCAAGCCTATCAGCCCCTCCAAGTAAGCTGGCCCTACCCGGGAATACATTGCTTTGGTTTGCTATGTTTTGACACGCGACCTTGTGTTTGTTTTTTGTTTGTTTGTTTGTTTTTTGTCCTGGACAGGTGACCCATGTGCTGCGGGTGCCCAAAGATCAGCAGCCACATCGACGCAAGGGTCAGCTTGCACAGCAAGCGGCCCTGCAGAGCACGAAATGACCCCTTCCTTGTCCATTCTGCAAAGCCATTAGAGGCAGCAACGCAGAAGCAGACAAGCCCGTTAATGGAGAATGTTTAATTGACCACATGGCCGTGACGGTGAAGCAAAACTGCATGAATGGGCAGTCGTGATGCTGGAGAGAAAGACAATGAGAAAGAAAAAGGAAGGAAACGTGGAGAGACAAGTCTCAACATTCAAATGGCTCAACAACAGCAATGTGATGCCCATATCAACGGCTTGGCCGTCTTATAGTCCACTTTGAAGGAACAGCAGGGTCATCCATCAGAGTGCACAACCAAACCCACGGCAAGTATTACAGCATGCCGAAAGGGGTTGGTTTGCAAAGCATAAACACGAGGACACGAGATTCCCTCAACAACGATTAAAACATTCAAGTGCTCGACCAGGCAAGCTGGCAAGCGCGTTTATGCGCCAAGTCCCTAGCGCGCCAAGTCATACGACATGTTCTAAGCGACCTTGTCGAATCAAGAGCTCGGCGTCTGCTCGGCGCATGAGATGCTGGGTGCCCTTGATCAGATTCACAGTCTGGCCGTCTCCGAAATCCACCTCGCCAATCGTATCCAGCACCCGGACCGTGATGGTGGCTTCTTTGGGGGGTTTGAGTGTCTATGCACAGCAGGGCCATGCCGCCCCCGCCATGCAGATGAGAAATCGAAAGATTCGTGCCAATGGACCGGTGCGCCACAGAACGATTGCGCGCTTACCGTGGTCAGATCCAGGTCTTCGTAAGCATTGGTGTAGGAACCTAGCACTCGATTATACTGATTTGCAAAGTTGCGCTAACCCGTTTCGAGCCACAAGCAGAGCGTTTTGGTACATCAGAGCGTGTGTTGGCCGTGAGTGCGCTATTTGCCAGCAAAGTTGGTCCAGGCCGAAAGATGCAGCAAACCTCGCTCTCGCTGCAAAGTGGCCTGATATGCGTCGGCAATGCTGCCCCTAGAGTCCAGCGCAGGTCCTGTAGCTTGTGAGCCCGATTATACCTACCCATGCCCGATGCCAAGACGAACACACATGCCAGGTCACAGCTGAGCATACAACCAATCCACCCGGCACTTGCTGCGAGGCATGGCAGCAAAAGCGGATGAAACGAACAAGTAGGCGAGAACGCAGCGCTTGTGTCGTTGCAAGACAGCAAAGTGAACGGTAATGTTGCACGAGATTCGAGGGTCTGCCAAAAACTCGTCGGTGGGATTACCATCCTCGTCCTTTGAAAAGCGTCTTTGGGGGGCACAAAGCGGGATGGCAGATGATAAGATTGCAAAAAGAAGCATGGTTGTGTGAGCAAACGCAACTTGTAGAGTTTGACGTACTCTACCATCGCACGCGCGCTGCGCTCTAGCTTGCGCATCTCGCCGACGATTTCCTTAATGCGATCCTCCTGTCAACAACGGCATGGCTCTTCGTGATGAGGTTGCTGCATACCTTCCATTTGTACAGGCCAGGTGAAGCGCAAAGGATGAAGGAGAATGCTTGCACCGGGTTCTGCCGGTGTGCGCAGAAGGACCCACATTGTAAAACGGCAGGGTGTGCTCAGCGGCGCGAACGAGCTCACGAACGAGCTCCACCGACGCGGAGGCACGTAGATCAATGTCCTTAATTTCTGCCAAGACATGATCTGTCATGGTCTCTGCCTGACTGGCACCGGGGGTACCCAAGTCACCCCCGGTGGCGTCGCTTCGCGCATCAGCATTGTCGGCCATCTCAAGCGTTGACGCGAATGGGCGTCATGAGCCCACAAGGCAAAGACGGTCGTTCGGCGCAGCACCACCCTCTCTCTCTGTCTCTCTCTGTCTCTCTCTGTCTCTCTCTGTCTCTCTCTGTCTCTCTCTGTCTCTCTCTGTCTCTCTCTGTCTCTCTCTGTCTCTCTCTCTCTTATCTCTTTTTGTGTTTGTAACGGTTAGTTTGAAACTGCTGTCTGGTTCTCTTTCTTTCTTGTTCTTCTTCTGGTTTTTCTTCTTTTTTTTCCGAGTTGTCTTTCGTTTCTCTGGTTTGATGCGCTGTATTTCTCGTTCTTTTTCTAGAGAGGTCTCGACAACTCGGTGTGGACGCGGCCAAAGGGTGGTGTGCTGGGACTGAGCAAGGAGAAGCCGGAAAAGGGTGGCTGGGCGTGCGGAGATAAGATCAAAATGGGTAGATTGGCTCCAATCAGGGCCATACTATGAGACGAAAGAGCAATGAACCCCCCACACATAGGGATGCTTGCTGTTAAGATGCACTGCCAACTCCTTGCAAGCACTGAGAGCTAAGCAATGCAACCATGGCATACCGACACGACAACATTCCCTCCAGCGGCGAACTGAACGGCGTCGGCCGGAGGAACGAGGAAGAAACCCTCCGCTGAAAAACAAACGGGAGACCTTCCCCGACCCTCCTTCGAGCCAGTCCATTTCACCTCAACACCACAAACTCTCTGATACAAAGAACGATTTAAACAAACGCACAGACCAACACTCATACAAAACACCAGCATGACACCTCAGGACACCATGGCGAACAACGTCACTGACTCCGATCGAGAGCAATAACTTGAGTGCAGGGCACGTCGGCAGGCCAGGCATAGAGACTAGAGAAAAGCAAGTGACTCGCAGGAGCACAATAGCCAACAGAACCAAAATCAAATTTCAAAAGGGGGGAGAGAGAACAAGGCAAACAAAGACTCGACGACCGACGCGCAGCACGGCGACGAGGCAGACGGGGCCATCTAGGCAACATGGCCCAGGTAGCACGGGAACAGCAGGCCGGGGTGGGCCCTTAGGTCGTGTAGCGCCGCATGAACATGTCATCATCGGTATCAACCAATTTGTACACGTGATGGCCACAACCGAGACCGGGCTTGGCGACCTCAAACACGCATGCAAAACTGAAGAGGACCTCGCCCGTGGATTGGTTGCGAACGGTTTGCGTGACGTGGAAATTTTCCAGCACCTTGTTCATCATGTCAATGTCGTCCAGTGCGCGCAGCCGCTGAGCAAACGTAGCCATGTACTCACACAGCGGGGATCGATTCATGGCGTAGACGTAGCGGCTCTGGTCATGAATGGGTTCCTCCACATGAATTTTCTCCACCACCTGAGTGTGCGAGCGAACAGCCATGGTCCAAACATGCCGGGCGTGGCCATAGGTGTGAGGACGAACATGAATCGTGGTACAAGCCGTATGATGCGAATGGCGAGGCATGGAAGAGCGGAGCAACCAGCACTAAGACAAGGTGGATTTCAAAGCATACCGGTTTTCCGAGCTGTATTGCGCACATGGAGATCTCGACCACCATGCATTCAAGGCTTTCGAAGCGGCAGGTCAGGCCAAAGAAAGAGCGATCGTTGATGCCATGCCCGGGTGTCTCGGTATCCGCCATCGCGTGCATGGTTTGATTCGGATCAAACGTCATGTCGACCCAAAATTTCACCAAGAAAAAGGCTTCAGGTGGGCCCTGGAGATAGGCTTCGTGGAGGCGGGGGAACTTGTCGGCGATTTGCGAAAGCTCGATGCACTCCATTTGCGGATCCGCAAAGTGGTACGAGCCCGTGAGCTCAACAAAGTTGTGTGACCCCGCACCCATGGGGTAGTCTACAAAGGCGTGAAAATAGTCCAAGGCCAAGCGCAAGCTGGATGGGCATGGGGACGAGGGAAGCACAATCCCGCATGAGTCAAATGGCTGGTGGGCGTATGCAAGGGACGGGGCGAATCAGCGGGTGGCCCAAAAAAAAACAGCCACGAGTATAGACACACCGTGCAATGCCGTTATAGGTACGTGATTGCCAGGCGTTCTGTTGAGCGGCCGATGCGCCGTGCTGGGCGTAGCTATCGGTGCCACTGTAGGTCATCATGCGACCGTGGTGGGCACTCTCCGTCTCGCTTCGTTCGCGGCTTGAGGGAGAAATGGTGCTGCTGACAATCTCGGCCGAGGAAAGTCCGCTGAGAGTGTGCGCTAACTGCTGGGCCGCCGCCGGGTTTTCTTTGAGCTTGGTCTGAAGCTCGCGTTGCTTTTTGCGCGCCAGCACTTGAATGTGACTCGAGACTTGTTTGCGGCTGCGTGTCTTGCCCGTTTTGAGTTTGATGTAGCGTGCAATTAGCTCGTTGCGCCCTACAGAATCCGGGTCGATGCAAAAGAGTAAGATACAAGAACGGAGCTGAAGGGGCCAAGGGAAGATGGGAGCTGGCGCGCGTGTGCACCCTCCCTTGCGTCTCAAAGAGTGTCGCGTCTGTTTTGCCAGAAAGCAAGGGGGAGATGGAGACGCACCGTACATCTTGCCCTCTTCGGACAGGATGATTTTACGACGACCACAGGGGGGGTAAATCTGCAACGCCTCCGCAAAGGCCTGTTCAATGTCAGGAGACCATATACCGTCGCCATCATCCAGGGGAATGGCCTTCATGGCACTACTTGAGCTGGTGACTGGGGTGGTATTGGTTCCAGGTGCCATGGCGGTGTTGGCAGTCACATCCATTGTGGGCTGGTCAATCGGCGCAGGCGAGTCGAGCTCGTCGTGCGGCTTGGAGGGTACAGGGGAGGAATGCCGGCCACCTGGCCTAAACGGGGCCGGGAGTGGCGGCGAAGGGGTGACCAGGTGATGTATAGATAAAGGGAAGTAGGGATAAGATTGTTTCGACGACGTCAAGCCCGGGGCAGGTTTGGTGGGTTGATGCGGAGAAAGGATGTGGACCGATGCGCGGCAGCAAGCGAGACTCGACGGGCTGCCCTCGGCCGTGGATCGAATAGCTGGACAACAGGGAAAGAAAGAGAAAGCGTTTCGAGGGCACCAAGCCACAACAGCGCGAGCCAGAGCCGAAGCGGCACTGCAAGCTGATGCAGATCGGCAGGCTCTTTCAGGAGGAGGCGGGCGCAGCCAGGGGCCCAAGCAAACAAAAATCGAGAGGGACAGAAAATAAGCAAGACTAACCCCCAACGACAGGATCAGCCCAGGTGTGGCCGCTGCATGCCACAACAGTGCAAAGGAATGTCGGCGTCGGATCAAAAAACCTGACCACTATCAGTTGGACCGGTTTTTTTTTAAATCCCTTTTCCCGCATAAGGAGAGTTGTCTTTCAAGCATTGTTATCCCATTCTTACAACGGTTGAACCGTTTTTTCAAAAACCTTCAAGAGGAGGCAAGAGGATCAAGCAGCACGCTGACCACTGCCAGGTGTAACCACTAGGACCATAAAAGCGAGCGCGCGCGGACACTGCAACTGGAGCGGACGCCCTTGCCAGACGAGCGCAGATTTGCATGCATGCATATAGTGGATGTCATATGGTAGCAACTGCAGACTGCGGACCGAACACTTGCGACACAAGCAAAGTAGACGAACCGCACTGCGTTTCGAGCATCGGGGCCCGGGAAGGAAGCGCAGCGTTCTGGTGATCCAAAGGCAAAGCTGTGGTGTGGAGAGGGACCTTTGGACCTTGCACCCTTGCACCCTTGGCCTCTTACAGAGGGAGAAGAACGACAAACAATGTCAGCCCAGACCCTCCGTCGATCGACACCACGACAACATTGGGTGTGGTCGCGGCTGGCCAGTATGTTCAACAAGTGGCTGATCCCTGCGCGGCTCGTTGTTGGCTCAGCTTCAGGGTTGGGCCATGGTAGCTTACGCCGTCTTGTGAATCTACACGACAGGCTTTTATCATGACCGACAATTCTGCGATGTCACAATTCGCGCCGGCGACCGTGAGGTAGGTCAAGGATACGTGAGGCAAAGCGACCGCAATGATGCTCGCGCCTGAACGGAGAGATAACGTCCGGTGGGCCGCTCACCTTGATTTTTGTTTCAGTTCCCAGCACATCGGGTTGTTTTGGCAGCAGGTAGCTCCTTCTTCTCTGCCTTGCTAGCTTCAGACGGACAATGGCACGAGCTTCAGAATGTTGGTTCCTTCTGTTCGAAAGGCCCGCTTCCGTTTGCCAAGCACCGGAGATGTGTGTGGTCGCATTCAATTCTATACTTGTCCTCTTGATAGAATGTAGTTGAGCTGCACGAGGTGAGCCCTGAGGCTGTAGCCGCGGTGCTCGAATACTTGTACACCGGCGGGCTCGAGCTGCATGGCGACAATATTCTGGCCATCCTACATGTGGCCAGTGAATTCCACATTCTACCCGTACGTGGCCATCTGCATGCACGTCCGAACGCATGCACGCCCACGCACACACAACCTGCCTAGGTTTGACCCTCGCCTTGCTCTTGTGGTCTGCACGGGGACAGCTACTGGACCTATGTACAACCTTTCTCGCCCAGAGTATCGATCATCGAAATGTGTCGCAACTTTTCGAAGTGGCCCAGACCTATCGGCTTCCCGCCCTGACCGAGGTGTGGACCCCCATTCGCTAACCGAAAGCGCTCCTCTTACACACACGCACAAGCACGTGCGTGCGTGCCCCCGGTCTAGACCATGGCCCGTTTACCTACCGCATCGTATGCCACGCTCATGCCTTGCCCTATATTTGCCCCTGCCAGGCTTGCCGCGCGTGTGCGTGCAAGAATTTTGTTCACCTGGTGCAAACGGTCGAGTTTAACGAGGTGCCGTGCCCTAGACGCTGGCCGCTGATGGCTTGACAGCATGCATCTGACTTGTACCACCATGACCTGGCATGCCATAGGCGTCCTTTGAGTTTCTGCTCTTTGTACTTGGCCAGCAAAACCTTAACGTGCCATCGGAGATTCTGGTTGTGCAGGCCATTCTCAACTGGCTTGAGGCACAGCTTGTCTCGACACCTGCGGCTTCAGCGTGTCCAGAAATCGGCGACCGCGCACACCAGCTATTCGCGCACGTGCGCTTTCAATATCTCACCTCTCAGCACCTGGCCACTGTACGATCTGGCCGGCTCTCTGTAATGAAGCAGCCGCGCCTGCTGACCCTGCGCTGTGGAATGGCAGGTTGCCCACCACCCAGTCTTACAGAAGTTACAGCTGGACATGACCATGCTTCATGGGTATGTCGTCTCAAGTCTGTTGTTGGTCTCATTTTTGATGGTTGCATGGATCTGGTGCGAGCTCGGACCTGTTTGGCCTTGCTGTCTGAATCCGAGCAAGGTCCCCACGAGCGTCCCCTCAACTTGCTGCTTTGACCATGGGACTGTCAACGTCTGCAGAACGACTTCAGCCCAGCCTCCACGATTGGGTCAGCTGGAAGGCATGGTCCTGGTCATTGGCGGGTACACCTATTTACATGGCCGGGTCGATCGGTGTGAGTATTTCAATGATGAACAGCAACGCTGGGCTTTTTTGCCCTTTTGCACCCAATGGCCCCGGTCCTATTTGGCGGCAGCTTGCGTAAACGGCCACGTGTATGCCCTGGGAGGCTATGCGGGACTGCAGAGCCCAGATTCTAGCCTCGACGCCCTTGATCGTGTGGAGCGATACAGCGTCCTGGACCTCAACTGGACCGAGGCAAGTCGTTCCGATTGGCATGCTGCGCTTGTTGGTGTTGTTGAGTATTGTTTGCTGTTGTTTGCTTGCTGCTTTCGTGCCTCTTTTAACCCGGCTCGAAGACTGAACTGATACCATCGATTGCTGTCCGGTCGTGGCATCAGGACGTGCCCATGAAGGTCGCTCGGGCGCGCTTTGGATGTGCTGTGGTCCGTCAACTCCTGTACGTCGTCGGTGGCACCAACCGATCCGAGATGCCCGAAACCTCGATGGAGGTCCTGAACACGAAGGCATCAAAAGCGAGGCGTGTGTGGGAACCGCGGTCCCCCTTGCCAGCACCACGGTCCGACCACAGCGTGGTAGAGCTACGTGGACGTCTCTATGTTATTGGCGGTTACGGTGGACTTGGTCAGACGGAGCCCTCGGATCGTGTTTTCTGCTACGACGTCGAGCGAGGTCTGTCAAATCGCCATTCGGGTCCGTGTCAGCCTGCTCCCAGATACTGAAGTAGTATCGTTTGATGCGTTTTACGCAGACGTATGGACAGAACGAGCGCCTTTACGCTTGGCTCGGGCCATGGCTGCCTGTGTCGCCCACGATGACCAGATCTACGTAGTTGGTGGACAGGGTCCAGATCCCTCAGGTGGGTGCCAGGCCGTGGGCCATCTTCTCTCCAAGTCCTTCAAATGTTGCCCTCCTCTTCTCAATTCATGCGCGTGTTCCTTCGGGTTTGCCTGCACTGCTTGCCTTGTGCCTCAAACAGTGGCAAGAAGCGTGGAGATTTACAATGTGGATGCGGACCAATGGACGCCGGGCCCGAGCTTGGAGCTGGATCATAGCCAGGGGTCAGCCGTAGTCATGGGTGGTAAAGTCACGCTGATCGGTGGGTTGCACCAGCACAGTGTCAGCGGTCGGTTCTTGCAACTAGAGGGCACCACTTGGCACAAGTCGCAGAGCGAAATGGTCTTGCCGCGTCGTGGTGCTGCTGCGACCCTTGTGACCATGGAATAGACGACAAAAGCCAAGCAAAACATCATCTTCTCAGATGCAGCCGCTCAGACTCGCTCGGCATCCCGCACTTGTGTCCTCTTCCTCCTGCCCTCCACCATTCCTCGAATCCATCTTTGGCATACAATCTTTTAGGACGCCATAGTCATTATCGATTTGGATCTGATCAAATTTCTCTTTTTTTTTCACAATTTTTTTCGCAATTTTTTTTTTTTACATCCTTCTTGCGCTTCTGTCAGAACACCCTCCTCGCTTGCTCGATTCAAGCATGAAGAAGGTGGCCTTGCCTGCACCTTGACGAGCATCATATCCGTGTTGGCGTCCTGGGGACCATCGAAATGGTGGTGCTGGTGGTGGCAGCAGCGGCAGTGGGACTGCTGCTGAGCGTCGACTTTGCCACAGCAGTGCCATGCCCTCCCGACAGCATATTTATGCATGCGCGCAAGCAAGGTTTTGATGTTTGCGGGTGCCTGCCCGGCACGAGGTGTCATGGCTCATCATGCCACCAAGGCGCACACGACAACGCCCCCGCCTTTGGACCGGAACAACAAGGATTTCCGCCCACTTGCCTTGACTGCTTGTATGGGACTGTCTGTGCTTGGGCCGCTAGCCCGCTCCTCTGCCCTCTGCTTGCATGAGTATCGCTCACGCGTCGCCGTGCCCGCATCAGCTGTCGGCTGGACCAGCGCGAAGATGGGCCAGTGTTGCGTTATTCCGGGGGCGTGACCCTGCGCGACTATCCGGACCCGGTTTTATCCCGGTTTTGCCACTTTAATGCCTCCCACGTCACTCCTGCCCCGCAAGCACCGAGAGAGGTGGCCTGGCTTCATGTACCCAAGTGCGTGAACCGATGGTTCGCTTTGCAGTACGCGATGGGTGCTAACCCAACGATCCGTGGCGGCAACTCAGGTGTGGATCAAGCTTGACCAACAGCGTGTACCAGTTGCTGTGTGCGTCATATGGCGACACGGCAGCAGGATCGCGAGCTCCCCGGGTCCAGGCCCATGGAACGTGGCCGTCCACCAGCTGCGCTGTCTGCCACGAGGTGTGCCAAAAGGCAGGCTGTGCGCGCTTTACGGGCTGGGCGCCGCATGACGGGCTGGTGCGCGGAAACAAGGTGGGGGGGGGGGGGGGGGGGGGGGGGGG